TGGTTGTGGGGCTGGTTGTGGGGCTGGTTGGTGGGGTGTCGGTGGTTGTGGGGTGGGTGGTTGGGGTTGTGGGGCTGCTGTTGGGTGGGGTGGGGGTGGTTGTGGGTGGGTTGTTGGTGGTTGTGGGGCGGGTTGTTGGGGTGTCAGTGGTTGTGGGGTGGGTTATGGTGGTTGTGGGGCTGGTGGTGGGAGGGGTGGGGGTGGTTGTGGGGTGGGTTATGATGGTTGTGGGGCTCTCATAGCTCGTGGTCTTGGAGGCTGTGGGGCTGTAGGAGGTCCCGGTGTTGGCGGAAGTCGCGGTGCTGGAGGTTGTGATGCTGACGGAGGTCGCAGTGATGGCAGAAGTCGCGGTGTTGGAGGTTGTTGAGGCAGTTGTGGGTTGCGTGGTTGCAGAGGAGGTTGTGGGGCTGGTGGAGGTCACGGTGTTCTCAGAGGTCGCAGTGTTGGAGGTTGTGGGGCTGATGGTTGTCACAGTGCTTTCAGAGGTCACAGTGTAGGAGATTGTGCTGGAGGCAGTTGTAGGTTGCGTGGTTGTGGTGGAGGTTGTGGGGCTGGTGACGGTTGTGGGGCTGCCGGAAGTCACAGTGTTGGAGGTTGTGGGGCTGATGGAAGTCGCGGTGTCGGCAGAAGTCACGGTGTTGGATGTTGTGGTGGAGGCTGTTGTAGGTTGGGTGGTTGTGGTGGTGGTTGTTGGGCTGCCGGAAGTCACAGTGTTGGTGGTTGTGGTGCCGGTGGAGGTCACGGTGTTGGCAGAAGTCGCGGTGTTGGATGATGTGGTGGATGCAGTTGTAGGTTGCGTGATTGTGGTAGGGGTTGTGGGGCTCCCAGAAGTCACAGTGTTGGAGGTTGTGGGGCTGATGGTTGTCGCAGTGTCGGCAGAAGTCGCGGTGTTGGAGGTTGTGGTGGAGGCAGCTGTGGGTTGGGAGGTTGCGGAAGAGGTTGTGGGTCTGGTGGAAGGCACGGTGTTGGCAGAGGTCACAGTGATGGAGGTTGTGGGTCTGGTGACTGTTGTGGGGCTGCCAGAAGTCACAGTGTTGGAGGTTGTGGGGCTGATGGAGGTCACGTTGTTGGCAGAAGTCACGGTGATGGATGTGGTGGTGGAGGCCGTTGTGGGTTGGGTGGTTGCGGAGGAGGTTGTGGGGCTGGTTGAGGTCGCAGTGTTGGCAGAGGTCACAGTGTTGGTGGTTGTGGGGCTGATGGAAGTCGCGGTGTTGGCAGAAGTCGCGGTGTTGGAGGTTGTGGTGGAGGCAGTTGTAGGTTGGGTGGTTGTGGTGGTGGTTGTGGGGCTGGTGGTAGTCACAGTGTTGTAGGTTGTGCGGCTGATGGATGTCCCGGTGTTGGCAGAAGTCGCGGTGTTGGAGGTTGTGGTGGAGGCAGTTGTAGGTTGCGTGATTGGGGTAGGGGTTGTGGGGCTGCCGGAAGTCACAGTGTTGGAGGTTGTGGGGCTGATGGTTGTCTCAGTGTCGGTAGAAGTTGTGGTGTTGGAGGTTGTGGTGGAGGCAGTTGTTGGTTGGGTGATTGTGGTAGGTGTTGTGGGGCTGCCGGTAGTCACAGTGTTGGAGGTTGTGGGGCTGAAGGTGGTCACGTTGTTGGCAGAAGTCACGGTGTTGTAGGTTGCAGTGGAGGCAGTTGTGGGTTGGGTGGTTGCAGAGGAGGTTGTGCGGCTGGTGGAGGGCACAGTCGTGCGTGAGGTCACAGTGTTGGCTGTTGTGGGGCTGATGGAGGTCACAGTGTTCTCAGAGGTCGCAGTGTTGGAGGTTGTGGTGGAGGCAGTTATAGGTTGCGTGGTTGTGGATGATGTGGGGCTGTTGACGGTTGTGTGGCTGCCGGAAGTCACAGTGTTGGAGGTTGTGGGGCTTGTGGAGGTCGCAGTGTTGGCAGTGGTGACAGTGTTGGAGGTTGTGTGGCTGGTGGAGGTGGCAATCGTGCCTGAGGTCACAGTGTTGGAGCTTGTGGGGCTGATGGAGGTCCCGCTGTTGGCAGAAGTCACAGTGTTGGAGGTTGTGGGGCTGA